GGTACTGACCGGATAGAAAACATTCGACGACGAGCTCCACGGCGACCTCCGGCGACCTGCGGACCATACGTACGCACGCATCGCCACCCAGAAGGGCGTAATTCCACGCCGGGTGCAGCCGGTGCAACGCGGAGCCTGCGGAGGAAGGGAAAATGGAACGGGGATGTACGTAGAGGGAAGAAACGCGGACCGACGGCTCACCGGGAAGTCCGCCCTCAAGCTTGAGGCGCGGTAACTTTTGAATTTCCGGACAACTTCCCTCGTTAATTATACCCGCCATTGGCAACTTCTACAATCGACACAGCGCTAATTAAATCGGCACGTTCGGCTCAATTGGACGTTCATCATTGTTTTCCCAATTTCCCGCGGCGGATCTCGCGAAAACGGAGCTTCGCACGAGAGAAGGATTGATTTTGCATTCGGTTCCAGCAACTACATTTTTCTTTTCTTTTCATATGTATATATCTAATCATCACTTTTCCGCGTGTACCAACAGTTGCAGGACAGCCTGTATATTGAAATCCAACTGTTAAATTTCGTTGGGTAACAGCTGCGTCATGAATTTTCGCGTCAGATCGCGGAAAGTGTCAATAATCCGTCGAAAAATGAATTACCCGGCTTACGGTGGCGTGGTTGTTTTCATTGCTGTTTCTTTCTGCAAACGTAACATGTTAATTCGATCTGTCGATGGTCCCTTTTCAACTACAGTGTCCTGTAAACGATACGTCGGCACGTGTATCAATAATTTCGAAGGACAATATAAGCGTAATGAAGCGTCTTCCGATTAATTTCACGAAATGAAGTATTATTCGCGAACGGATATACGCGCGAGAATATGAGATACGGAGGAGTTAATAAGAATAAAATTAATTTGCCAGATAGCCAGATCATTGTTCCCGTCGCCCCTCCCCCCTCTGCCATTATGAGACCGGAATGCGTTGGCACGACTCTCAGTTCCAAACATCGAACATTCAAATCTGCATCTGCGGGTCGGTTAATCTGCATAGATATTGCGCCGCGCGCATGGCGCGTGTGGAAATTCGGCAAACTATTCTACTTCCCTATCAGGAATTCTTTTGTCCCCGGAAACCGCTCGTGCGCCAATTCGGCGCTCAAGTGGCATTAAAGGAAAGCTAATGTTCCCTCGTTCGTCGTCTTTGATCCCCGATTTTTCGCCGTGCCGTTCGCGAAGAGATCCAACGAGACTGAAGTCTGCGGGCTGCAAATAACGGAGGCAAGAGGAAAATCTTGCGCCTCTTCGATCAAAAAGAAACGATGGAAGAACTCGATCATCACCCACGATTTCTTTGCCTACTCGGTGATTACGTAGCGGAAAGAACGTTGAACCAGCTCGGTTGTAAAAATCCGGATTTATTAATTTTATAAATAGAGGAATTATACTTCGTCTCTCTGATAATCAATACGATTATTCAATCAGTCTAACAGCGTTCGTTAAATTTTTTAACGAAATTGAGGAGTTACGAGATAATGAAGTTAAATATTTGGTAGCTATGCGATACAAAGCACGAGAATGAATATTGTAAAATAAAGGACCGTTCTTTCCTAATGATGCTTGACAAAAATCCGCTCTGGACACGGTTAAAGCTAAAAAAGTCCACTTGACCAATGTAGAAAATATTTTGTAGTTGTATTAAAATCGGTCTTTGTTAAAATTTTTGTGTTAAATTTTTAATATACCTGTGTATTAATTTAACATATTATGTTTATGTTATCTCAATTTTCTTTCTATCGTTATCTCTTTTATGTTGAATCGACATTCAACATTTGTGTTGAAATAATACTTGTAAGTATTAACAGGTTTTATACTTCAGTATCGATTAACATATTATGGATATTAACTTTGTGTCCATTTTTGACGTAATATTTGTATCATTTTTCAACGTATTCGTCTTGCTTTAAATATAATACAAAAATATGTATAATTCATTTAGGACATATATGTGAATTTCACTCATTTTTTACCGTATAAAAGGGACTTTTATCTATATTAAAATGGTACGCGGTATATAATACGGTATTATTGCAATTTTATACGATTTTAACAGTAAAGCTGACGAAGCTTTACGAAGTCTTAAAAGCGATGTGATTTAGCTTGTCTCGTAAATTCTACTGGGAATCAAAGAGGATATCTTTGTCAGCCAGCAAGATTTTCTACGATGCATCCAGAGCCGTGAGCGCGCGCGCCTTCCGTAAGTATACTCTCGAAACCATAAAATTTTAATGTAGCGCAGTGAGGCAACGTCGTGGATTTTACATGAACAACCATGAAGGTACTTGAGGTTGAACTCGGAACAAACAGACGGTCAAATTTCGTATTCTGCAGCGTTATGCGTTTTCTTATTTTCAACCGCCTCCTCCTCCTCTTTCTTGTTCCTGCAAAATATTTTCGCAGGATAAAAATAGCCCCTTTCTTCAAGTTCATCCTGACGTTCTATCGGAATATATTGTAAATTGTAATTATATAATTACGGTTGTTTTACCCATCGATCCCCGACGTAAAAACTGGCAATTTGCTGCGAGCTGACGTTGATTGCGACGCTACGTGCCTCGTGATGATGCAACATTATTATCGGGAACATGCTTGCGCGAAGCTTTCTTCCGTGTAGGCGATTCGATGCGTCTCACGACCGGAAGAGCGTGGGTGCAAGAGTGCATTGGTCGCTGAAGCGACATCTTACGCATCGGTCGAGCATTTTACCGGGAGATGCAATGTCAATGACCCTATTTACTCCGGTCTAAAAGAGCGGTCTAATTGCGACTGTGCTGTTCGTATTACGGAAAGATCTACCACCCAAGAGGCGTTATTCTACCAATAGCGTCCGGGATAATATCGCTCTCGCACAAACATTTAGAAATACGTCGGACATTGAAAGCGAGACATTTACGGCGAGCAAAGAGGAAGAAGAAATTTTATTTCACGCCCGTCCGCTCCGATTTTTCAGAGTGGACAGAGAAACGTTTTCCCCCCCTTTGTTATACTTTAATACAAACACGTCCGGATTTTTCACCAAATGTCTTTGCATCTCTATACTGCCTCCGCGGCTATTCAGAGCGACCGTGTACTTTTCTTACGTATTTACCTTCTCATTCTCGTACTTCGCGGTTTATTCTCCTACACAAAGCCGAATTAATTGGTCCTCGGTAGAGCGTCAATTCGAGAAATCCCTCCCCCCCCCATCATTTCGCGAAACGAATAAATATAAATGAAGTTCCTCGAGGCAGCAACGACACCGCGGAAACTATTGAATCGCGGACTCCGAAGGGCGAGGTAACTCGATCGAGCGGCACGGAGGTAAAAATAAAAGCTGAGGGGTGAGGAGAGAGCGCAATCGCGGCGGCCGCGTCCTTTCAGGCGACGACGAGGTAGGCGCGGTTAATCTCAAAATTCAGCCGATGATGTTATCTTCGGTTTACCTCGCGCGCTGCTTGTGCAGCTTCAAACGAGGCGAGAGGTCGGTTAAATAGGCGAATAAACAGGCACAGAAGAAGCAGGCGGGCGAGGTACCGCGGCACGAGCGCGTAGTAATCGCGAGATCAAAGTCCGCGCGTTTGCGCGCGCGGATGTTTATACGCGGAGGTGATCTTGCAGCGGCGTGCAGCAGGCAACGGGGAATCCACGTAAGAAGATCTCCGTCGTCTTAGCGTCCCTCCGACGCGCATGCAGTTTCGAAAGGGCTGAAGTTACGAGAACGACATTCGTTCGCGTTTCTCTCTCTCTCTCTCTCTCTCTCGCTCCACGAACGTGCTCCGGCGCGACGCCTCCGCGCGTTAAGAGGCTCATTCGAATGCACGGTCATACGCCGTCATGCCATGCGGTTTGCATCTCGTCTAGACCAAGCTACGAGCTGCAAAGGACACCCTTCGGTCGGGATTATTCGCCGAAAAAGCAGCCGCAGTACCCTCGCTAATTTCTCATCGATTTAGGAATGTAAACGATATTCCGTCCGACTTGACACTTTGAATTTTGACCATCGAATTCATGATCCTCTTTTTCCGTGCGATACATATCAGCTGTGCAAGTTAGTTCGGTGTTTTCGTTCACGAAAAACCATCACCTACTTATTGGCGGAAGGTGTACAGTTTTCATTTTCGAAATAATCTCTGTTACTACGATGACTTTACTTACGCCATCTATCGGGCAGTCGTGGAATTCTATCACGGTAGAAACTTGGCGATTTTGAATTAATAAAGTCATCGATGGATTTTTTAATGTCCTCTACTGTTTTAAAATGTGTATCAGTTAAATGGCGTTGCAATGACCGAAACAGGTGAAAATAGGTGTGGCGGAACTTCCAAGCTCGTATTAAAAATGACATCTTTTGTTCCGTTTGCTGTGTAAAGTTGAAGTTGCATGGAGCACACACATATACACACACTGAGGCCTCTTCGAAATCTTCTCGAAACCTCTGATAATATTTTCACAAATTGTACTACGCACTGCGCCTCCGCCCAAAGCCGAACTAATCATTTTTGTGCACTTCGCAATATTCGTTGGTAGTAGCAATGCAAAAAGAATTTGCAGCAGTGCTGAATATGCGCTTTATCGATCGCAATAATGTTCACTTCCACTTACTGAAGTTATGTTAATTATTCCGCAACGTTACGCGAGATATTTTGTAAACATTGATGGAAACTCTTTAAAATTACAGTTGAGCGCGGAAGAATATTTCGATTTTCAACGCTTATTAAAAATGAAAGGATGAAAGGGGCCGGGTTAATTTACATACTTAATGCGTATGTATGAATGAGAGGCTATTATTCGGAGAGTTCTCCAAGTCGAAGTCATTGTTTACCCGGGACCTTCGTTACGGGCTTTTTTCAGAATTCCACGATTGTTCCGCGCGCGAAAAGAAATGTCACGTTTATTTAAAACTCTCTGAGCCCCGAGTTTCTTTCCGGAGTTCCTCGAGAATAAATATATTCCAACGCCGCGTTTTAATATCTCTCGCATAAAAGCTTGAATAAAAAGGTTCACTCACCCAGTCGCCGCCGACGTTGCTCCTCGTTGCTCCATCGGACGTCGTTGTACGCGTAATTCCTGGCGCTGTTCCCGCGGCGGGACACGCCGAAGGGGTCCTTCGGCAACGGAGGCAGGGGCTTGTTGGCGTCGTAGTCCTGCTCCAGGCACCTCGACGCCGCGCCGCGAGCACCGTACAGAGGCTGGTCTTGGCTGGCGTCGCGTCGATCCTGCTGCAGAAACACCGAGTCGGTGTCCGAGGCGCTGTCCTCGCTCCTGTGTCGCCTGGTGGGCGGCTCAGGTGCCGTGCCACGCTTCGTTGGCCAGCTGCCCGTCGGCAGATCCGGGCCGGCGTTCGGCTGATTGGAGAAACTGACCCTCTTGGGCCCCGCGCTCCCGTATTCCATCGATTCCCCCCCGATAAGACTGCCCCTCTTAAATATCGGATGCGGCCTCGACCTGCCCTCTCCGTCGTTGACGTCCTCCTCGTGCGCCCCGCCGGCTTCCGACCTCCTCAGGGATATCGCGGCGGCGTCGGTGAGCGGCTTGGCGCGTGTCACGTTGAAACTGGACCGCTCGATCTCGCCCCGGTGGAAGTGCGGCGAGGCGCTCTTCGATCTCGGCGCGTCGCGTCCCGCGGGATCGCGGCAGTGGACGGACTTCATCTCCTGCCGGTCCCGCAGCGCCTGCTGCGGCCGGACTATCAGTACCGGCTGATTCTGACCCTTCGGGGCCTGCATCAACGGCAGCTTGCCAGTCGGGCTCGTCTTGGGCCGCTGCTGCGCGTTGCTCCAGCAAAGACCGTCCCCGACGGAGCTAGTCGTCGCGGTGGGACCGAACGTCTGATTCACACCGGGATGCAACCCAGTGGGACTTCTCGTTCGCGTCCTGCAGTACGCCTCGTACGAGCCGTCGTCGGCCAGCAAATTCTGCTCGTAGATCCGCCGCTGCTGCTCCTCGTCCAGTTTCTTGAGCTGCTGCCAAACCGCCTCCCGCACTTCCGGCAGGTTGATCTTCGGCGCACCCTGCCTCGGGCCGGGGCTCGCTTGCGAGACCGCCGACTTCCGTTGCGCCTCCAACGCCTTTTGCTGCCAATAAAACGCTTCCAAGTGCTGCCTGGTCTCGCGTTTCGACGGCGACAGGGGTCCGCAGGTCGGGTAGCATTGTTGAGCGTACGCCGGCTCGAGGACGCGTTGAAGGTACAGCGATTCTTGACTCGGTCGCGGCTGTTGCTGCGGTCGTTGAACGTACACCGGCTGTTGCTGCTGAACGTAGCCGGGTTCTTGTTGCTGCCTTTGACGTTGCTCGTACATCGGCTCGCGCTGAGCCGCGTTCGCGCCCACGACGTATACCTTGTCTTGATTCGTCATCGGCGACGAGGGTTGTCCCTCCGACGACGAGGCTGACGTCGCGGACGAGGCTCGTTGCTGAACGACGTGTTGCCGATAGGTTTCCTGCGGCGTGTTCGGCGGCGGGGACTGAGCCGTTCTTTTTTCGTTAGGCGCTTGTTTGCCTTCCGGATTACGCGACTTCCGCGGTATCGAGGTCTGCCCTTCTACCCAGGCGACCCTCTCGTCAACGTTGCGGCGAACACCCGACGGCCCGTAGGAACCGCCACGTGGCGACTGCTCGTTCTCGCTTTCTTTTATCTCCGGCGCGTTGCCCCGCGGGGGGCTCTGCTGCTTGCGGTGTCCGTAAATCGGCTCGGGACGTGAGATACCTTTCGAAGAGGCGAAGGACGATACAGCTCGCTGGCCCGTAGATTTCGCCGTGACCGAGGAGTCCTGGCCGCCGTACCGATCTCGCGCCTCGATTGGAACGATGCCAGGAACGCATTCGCGCGAGTCCGCTATGGGGACGGGCGATCCCGTGTCGCAGAGCCTGGCCTCGTTCAACGGCCGGGACACCCGGGACTGATAGATGGCCTCTCTCTTCGGCGAGGCTATCAGGATTTGATCATTGGGCTGCGACTTCCTGACTAACGCCCTGGCTCCTGCTGACGGAGACGTTGCCGCCATTGTCATTCCGGGCTTCGACGGTGATACGTTCTGGGCGCGTATTCTCTCCGCTTGGCCGGCCGCTAATGACTCGTTCTTCAAGTTCGGGTCGATACTCTCGGGACTTTTCCCGTGGTCTCCGTGTGCTTTCTCCGGCTGCTGTCTCGGCTCCACTTGCGCAGTTTCCGTGTCTTGAAGAGGCTGCTGGCAAGAACCCTTCGTGGAGGTGCGCTGATTCGGTGAACATTTTTCCTCGTAGCCCGGGTCGTTCCTCTTATCTGGCGAGTTTGCTGCTTTCGTATCCACGGGATGCCGCTCGTGACACGGCGACGACGGAGTCTCATCGTACACGTGCTCGTCGACGTAGCGATTCGCCGGCTGAGGAGCCGCCGGTTGAGACTCGTTCTCGTAGATCCTCTCCCGCGTATCGTCGAAAGGTCGCTCGGTGGGTGAAGTTCGTGCGCTGCCGCGGGGCGAGTGCAGGTAATACTCGCCGCTCTTCGAGCTGGACGGCGAGAACTCGCTCTTTTGACTGGAGTTAGGCGTGCAACTGGAGTCCGCGTAATCGCCGGACTTCTGGCTGGAACCAGGCGACGGGTATTTCGGGCTTCGCCCGACCAGAGGCGCCCTCTGAGTCTGATTCACGATCGGCTGCCGAGTGATTTTCACTTGCGCCGGCACCGACTGCGGCATGTGGATCAGACCGGCCTCGATGCTCCGCTCGTTCTGATAGAGCCCGCTTTGGTTCTGGTAATCCACGTTATCGGCGACGCATGCATCCTTCCGATACTCGTCGCACAGCGGTTCCACGCCGTCCTGATAATTCTCGTAATTCGACAGCTCCACTCGGGACTGCGGGATCTCGGGCAGCGGCCTGTCGACTGGATGAATAGCCCGAGGCCGCACCAGGTACCGTTCGCTAGGCGGTGCCGAAATCCGACCGGAGGAGCCGTGATTTCTCTGAAAGTAGCAACTGCGACCGGCGTGATTCGGTTCTTGCAGACTGTGCTTGCGTTCCAGCTGGCCGTATCGTCGGCTGTCCTGCTCCTCGCGCCTCTGCCTCTGCTCGTACTTCCTCACATCGGGCGAGATACCGAGATGCCCGCTCCGGTCCATCCACCGTTCGTCCGGCGCGATCGAGCTGAGACTGGAATCCGTGGTGTAAGATCGCTGCGCTCTGGCTCGGTCCCGAAGAAGCCTCGAGTCGTCCGACTGCAGCAAGTGATCGGGCGTGCTGGTAATCGGCCCTTGCTCGGGGAATAACTCGCGCTTGATCTCGTCCAACCTCTCCTCGATGATCGAACCGTTCAGGCTGTTGTCCAGCTTGACGTTCCTCTTGATGTCCTCGTTCAAGTTCATCGTGTCCGGCGACCTCGTGTAATTGCCATTCTGCTGGTAACGGGCGAAGTGCCGCTCGTCGTATCTCTTCCGTTCCTTCTGCTCCTTCTTCTTGTAGTCCTTCCGAGAATCCTTCGGCGAGAAGATGGCCGGCAAAAGTCGCCGAAATCCGAGTTTCTTCTTTTGCTTTTCCTCTTTCTTCACTTTCGACGATCCCGCTTCCATGGTGAACTCCCTGATGAGATTGGCGTAGCCGTCCTTTCCGCGACAGTTTCGAGCCGCGCAGGCCGGATCGATGAATTCCTTCGAGTTAAGCACCGGGAAGGAGCCGAGCGCCTCCTCGTCGCTTCCTTTGTTTAAGAGCCGCTTTTCTTCCCCTCGTTCCTCGTATTTTGCCACTTCGATATCCCCGTCGCTCCTCCTTTCACTCAGATTTGGATCACTGCAGCTGCCGACGTTGTCGTTAAGGTCTTCTTGCTTCAGATTTCCGTTTCCGTGAACTATCGCGGTGGTCGTGAGTACTGTCGAGTCGGCTTGCTCTACGTCCCATCGAGCGCGCTCTTCGTCATCCCCGTCGTCATCGTAAACACGATCGAGTCCGTCGATATAATCGTTGTCGTCCGTCTCTACTCCATTCGTCGTCGCCCGCGCGATATCCTCGTCGACGGCCTTGATTCTATCCTCCAGACACGAATCGGAATCGACGGTGCTCACGGTGGTGTCCTCCAGAATTTCTTCCGAGGTGCGCCTCTTCGACTCGTCGGTCGACGTTTGCCTCTCCGCAAACTTCACCGAGCGCTTCCGGTCAAAGAGCAGTCGGGCGTCGCGATCCTCGACGATGCTTTCGCGCGAGGACGCGCTACCGAATTCCTCGATGTAGGAAGACCTCGAGGATTCCGAGGAGTTACGTTGCAGCTGAGCCTCCAGGAACTCCCCGGACCACCTCTTCTCCACTTCCGTCACTTTCTCGCTGTATATCCGCTTGGTGTTGACCTTAGCCGGCGGTAAATCTTCGATTTCACTGCTTCTCTCGTTGTCGGAGCTGTAATCCAGATCGGTTTCCAGCAGCCTCCTCTCCTCGATCTTCAGTCGTTTATCCAGATTGTGCTTCTCGAGGAAATCCTTATCGAATCCGCGGCTCGATCTTTCGCTGCACTTTGTGTCGACGGTAACCGGCAGCCTCAAAGCATAATTGGCTTGAAGGTCCAGCAGCTTCTCTTTGTAGCTTTGCGCGGTGCTGGCGTGAATCCCGGTGCTCAGATTCTTTTGGAGGTCCTCGATAGTCGTCTGACTCCTCTCCAGGCGGTTCTGCGCGTCTTTGTCAATTCCCGTGCATTCTTCACGGCTTTCAAAGCCTTCAGCGTCCCCCCCGCGCTCTCCGATTTCGTCTCTTCCGTCGCGATCTTCGTTTGCAGTTTTACACGCCTCGTCGTCCCTCTCAGTTTCAACGGAACTTATATTATCATCGTCTCCCTTATCGCTCCGGGTATTTTCCGCCTCGGAAATGCTTCGTTCGACCGGTTGTTTAACTTCAGCCGCTATCTCGTCGGCAACTTTTTCCCGATTCGGTGATAAATCTTCGCGCAGTTCTACTTTCGTCGCAGGGAGCGATTCCACAATCAAAGATGAATTATGCCGTCTTTTGTCCGCAGGCTTCTCCGGGACCTTTGGCGGCACTTTGTGTTTCCTGGCGTTGCTCGAATTCAAACCTTCAATCACGATGCTGCCGATAGACGGGCTTTTAACGAGCCGAATCGGCTTGATCCTGTTCTCCTCATTAGGCGAGCCACCACCGTCGCTCTTTTGACACCTCGGAAGTGGAAGTTTCGATTGGCCGGCGAGGACGTTGCTCCCAAAACCGGCGTCCGGCTTTGACGTGAACGTGTCTCCCGGTACCGAGACTCGAAATCTACCGTTTACCGATGACTTCTGTTCCCCGTCTTTCGTTCGCTTGACAACGCCCGGCTTTGTCCCCGAGCTCAGAGACAGTTTCCTCGAGGTCTCGTTTTTCGTCAGCAATACTTCGCGCGAGCCGTTCGACGATTCCAAGACGATCTTCTCGACGGTAATCTTGTCAACCGAGAAAACCCGCACGTTTCCCGCATCCGATCCCTTCCCGTCGCCCTTAAGTGGCTTCTGATTGTGCCGCGCATCCGTTCCCGAGACGTCGCTACCGAGCACTCCTTCCGTTGACTCCATGCTGGTTCGTCGCGCACCGTTCACCCTTTAAAGGCGCCTAAAACAGTTCCCCCGTATGACGTTCTCGCAAACGCTCGAAATAATAGCGACGCACTTATATGAGAGGATATGCAAAGGCATTTCAAGCAACTATAAATGAGCCCCAAGAAACGATTAAGAGGAAAAATGAAGATTATCGAACGCAGGATAAGATACCAGAAGGTACTCGTAATATCGACGACTCGACCGTGAAATCCGGCACTGAAGAGGAAGGAAAAAAAACACTGGTGGGCACCGGATACGCGCCGTTTAATGTCACGTTGCGATCTATAATTATTCGGTGTACACGAGCTCCGAACGCTGGGAGCTCCTGGAGCAGACGCACGTCGAGAGGTGACACGCGATGAACTCGAGATAACTAGATAAGTGGCTGAGCAGTCGCTTGAAATTTTCCCATTAGTCCAGCGCGCTGGGTAGCCGCGTTCGGTGCTTAACCCGGTCAAGTACGTGGTGCACGTACGTACGTTACAGACGGACGGGCGGCCATGTGCGCGCCAACCGCGTGTGTACGCTGACGAGCACGTGCCGGCACGAGCGGAGCGCGATGCCGGGTCGCACGCCAACAAACGAAGTAGTCTAAACACGTATACATTCTAAACATCGAGGCAGAAAATCTCTTCCTAGCCCCTCGTTTGCGCGCGGTCAACGTTTCTCTCCGGGAGGAGGAAGAAGGAGCCGAGGACTCGCGCGCGCGACGGCGTAAAGTCGCAAAGTGCAACGACCGTAACGAATTCGTTCGGGAACTTACAAAGCGTCTAAAACGAGAATACTGGCGAGCGCGCGCGCGCGCGCACGGCATCGTGCCGTTATGCCCTCTTCCGCCTATATTTCCCCTCGCAATGACGGTGAAACATTATGGATACACGTCGATGGTGGCAGGGGGAGGGGAAAGGAAGCGTACCGAAATACGTTTATTGACGTCCTGGGACACGAACGGTCCGTGCACGGGCGCGGTGGATAGCAAAATATGCACCGGAACGAGTTTTTCTTTTTGTTTTGCAAAGACGACCTATTATTAGCACTGGCTTCCCTTCGATACAGCGACGTTTACCGCACAGCACACTTTATCCAAGGGACATCTTATAAATATCACAATACCTATAGGACATCCCAGAATGGTCTCAATTATTCAGTGGATAAACCGGCAAACGTTCATGTGTCCGCTGTATCTATGTGATATCCTACCGATATCTTAAACGTCGTCCGAAGGATATCCGGATAAGCTCGAGAAATATCGTAAGCTATATTATTATGTACTCATGTAGCAACATGTAGTGCGCGTTATTTTAACGTTTAATTTTAGCCTTTCACTGACCGCTATTGACGTTTTCAAGACGTGAAAATGACCGTCTAATGTCACAAAAAGTTGACTTCATCGAACGTAGAAACATGCTACAATATCTACATTGTAGCGTGTTTCTCGCTATGATTTATATTCAGAAAAAATACTATTGTTTTACTTTATAAATTTGGAAATCTGCGACAATTTCCTCAGGATACGATAAAAATTACGTTCTCGTCTCTACTGCCAAGCCCAATTTGACAGAGGGATTCGGGTGATCCTGCCATGCGTGTGACGTAATGCGCGTAACCGCGTGTAACCGCTCAATGATAATTAGACGAAGATAAACTACTCTCGATAAAATCCGCCCGCCGTGCCTTTGTCTTCATCGGTGACGTACTGCACGATTGATCGCGGCGCAACGAGAGTGCAACGCTCTCCTGCGGCGACTTATCCGACGAAAGAAGAAGAGAGAGAGCACCGTAACTATCCTAACGACTTACTTAAGAAAGTTCCACGAGGCACGCAGCACGGGTGTTAATCAATTTCAATCACAATCACACCAGAGTGAGTAATTATGACGGAGGGCGGGAAAAAATTCAAGTGGCGGACTCGCCCCGATAATTCTACCACTTTCCCGTGTTTCTTCGGACTTCTCGCGGTGAAACTTCGCCTACTTTCAAGAAAGAAAGAAGAGGAATGACGTGATGCGGTAAAATGTTCAGCCAGGAAGGGCGGGCAGTTCATCCACAGTGTACTTTCAGGTGCATCCGATTCTGATGCAACGCGAGCGCACCATCCACCGGCGCACGTTCCGGTCCAAGTTCGCGCACGAGTAAGACTTAACATTGTTAACCGTGCCGGCACGTTGCACCGACGTTTCCGGGAAAACGTTCACAACCGACTGGCCAGGACCTGCATTATTCGTGCAACTGAGAGTTACGAGCGACGCGCGACCGGCGACATGGCTAAGAGGGAAGGGAACAGTCGAAGAAACGCAATATTCGCGCGAGTGAAACCAGCACACCGGTGTTGACTTACGGTATAGTCATTTCGCGCAAGTATCCGCTATCGCCGCTGATTACGTAAACAATTCACGTACTGCGATACACAAGCTGTGTGCAATTACGAGAATGTACTCGCGCGCGACCACCGACTCTTTCTGCCTGGCACTGTCGTGCTGCACATCTCGCGTAATAAAATAATGAAATAATGACAAGTCCTGCGTGTGTATACCTACGTAATAATAATTATATTGAGTTGTGTTAGATAAATTCGCATAGAGATTTTTACGAAAAATTCAAAGCCGACCTTTCTATAATCGGGCTCAAGTTTTTCGTTATTTTTTCGATGGTGCGTCGCCGAAAAAAAAAATTATTAATACATTATTCATTCAAGTCGCTATGAGAAAAATATAGTTATTTTTGAGGACGATATCCTTTCTGTGCTTTAACCACAAATGTAGTAGCAACATGCACGGTAAAGTTATCATCACTGACACTATATAGTAACACTTACTAGGAAAATAGTTCTCCTGATTGTTTTTATGGTTAAAGTGAAAAGAGAATATTGTTGTTCCCGAAAATAAATATATATTTTTTTTCAGTGCACGTAACTATGAAACTAGCAGCCTAAAACCCTTCGCCTAAAAATTCTTATGAACAAATATTTGTCGGAATCAATATTTATAAATACTTATAGACACTTATACACAATAAAAATAATACTTATAAAAAATAATACTTATATACCATATTTTTAAATACTTATCGGAATATTTCAACTGAATTGTATCCCTTTATAAAATTGAGATTGTAATCTGTTAAAGTCTAGAGAGTAGCACTTTTAGGAGAGATATCGCGAAATTTTACCGTATCCGTACACACAATTATATTTATTGCTTCCCTGGGGATTAATTTATATTCGCGAGCGTCGCTATCTTTGGTCTAACGGTTGCATCATGAATGCAAAAAGACCGAAGGCGGTGGATTAGCGGGTAACGGCAAGGCAAATAGTATATATGCGGGAATAATAATGCGGAAACGCCATCATCCTTCCTCCTCGTCTCATGATTATCAACGGAGAATTTGAACGGCGAGCTGGCGACGTGACAGCCGGCCTCGATGGAAACAGAAATAAACGGAATCGAAGAACAAAGCTGGTAATTGACAGACGCGTTTTGTCCGCCGTGGCTCACCGCCACTTTCGCTTAATTATCGCAGTTCTCGTTATCTCATTATCGTCATTAGATAGCATCGTAAGGGGGCAACGTCGGAGACGTGATCCTTTAGAGTTTGCCGACCGTCGGTTCACAAGATGCAGACGGTGTATCGAGTGCATCCGCGGGTCACTTCCGACACTTATAAGGTAATCCGTGCTGAATGCGGAAGTACCGATCCCGACAAGATTTGAAAATCATTTCGGCAATTCCCAGATAATTCTACAAGACGAGAATCCGCGGGTAATGGTAAAACCTAGAAAAAACAACGCGTGCTCCTAACTTCATAAATTATTTTCGCAGAGAGGAAAAAGGGAGAAAGCCGAAGGCACGATTTCTAATACCGACCATTGCCCCACTGCCAAAATTTTTCCGACCGCCCTATTCATGCGCCGGGCATTGTCCGCGCTTGTATTTACGGGAACCGAATTGTACTCGTATTTACAGGAACAAATGTGCATAGCGCGGCTCTATCCGATGGCGAGCAACGAGTGCGTGATTACATCGGCGGGTGCGTCGGCGATTTTATCTAAACGGGGCGCGCGCGTATATCGCGCTCCGTCTGTGCATCCAGTCTAATCATTTATTAATTGTCCGCCCGATATCCACCGGAAGTGCGCGAGATGTCGGTATCGACATCGTACGGTCTCTGCAAAAAGGCGCGCGTTAAGAAGGCGCATCAAACCGGTTCGCTTCCTTCCGCGTTAAATGCAGCTCGATGGTGATCGCGATAGTGCTCTCTATGCGGCGTTTAATAATTTCCCCGGCGCTGCGGCTCGCCGTAATTTTACATGTATTAATCTTTTTTCTCCCCCTTTCCCTCCCCGACGATACATATATCGCGTGTCTCGAGATTTGCACAGAGATAACGTATAACGAGTCCGCAGAGAATACGCGCAAGTGCAATGCGCTCTCGTGTGCTAACGCAAAGAGCGGCTGCCTGTAGATAACCATCGAGGGCACGTCGGTTCCTTTGAATAGACAGCCTCGAAGTTTCCGCGACGATAAGTTCGGCCTATGCTATGGTGTGATATTCTATGAATATGAATGATATTCCACGAATGGGCGAGCGTTTGCGTCTACGAGAAATACCGAAAAAACATAATATTACGCGCCCGTAGCGGGATATTTCCCGGATAGAGGGACTTAACGATCAATTAAAACCTATCTCCGCGGAAGAGAAAGGTAACTCCAATCGAACTGATCCCCGGGGGGAATGAGAAGAAGCAAATTAATTTCTACGAAGCGCTCTTTCGGAGCTTACACGGAGCAAAAGGAAAAGGGAACGAACAGACGATCGGATTGAGAATCGTGTATACGAGGTGTCAAAAAAAAAGCATTCATATGGCGGATAATATATGTCATACTGAATAAAAAAGTTAACAAAACTCGTTTCTGAAATATAAACGATTTTGTATGTTAACTTAAACAAGTCATGACCGACTTGTTGGATTCTATGTGCATCGCATTCGACGTGCAGGTTTATCTCGGTGTTTAT